AATTTATAACATTTTCAGTACTCCTGGAATAAACAGTGCATCAGATTTTATAAGATCTCTGGTATTGACGGCATTGGATACAACGTACAACATATCCAAAACGTAACTTCCCACAAAGAAAAATATATGAACGCCGAATATTTGGTTGATGTCTTTCATCGTATGTTCAATTAAATTGCATATCTTTAGTATTTCTGTAAAGTTTCCTTGTGACGTGGGCAAGACTTCAACTTAGACATATCGCCTCTTCAAATAATGCATCAAGCACATTATGTAGATTGCTACGAACACCCTGTACAAATAGAATAACATCCAGCAGTTTAAAACGGCGTCGTTGTAGAATGTGCCGTCTTTTATCCATATCCAGTTCTGAGCAAGGTTTTCGCATAGAAAAACAAAAAGAGAAGCAACAGCTTGCACGTAGGTTGCGATTGGCTTTTGTTCTAGTCGAAAACCACTTCGAATGACGACTTTTTCCAACTTCTCAAGCGATTTCACGAAAGCCCTCCACTTCTTGATCCGAAAATTCGATGACAAAATGAATATCGTAAAAACCAGTAAACAAATTTGACCATTTTCATATCGCTTTGTTCGTTTTTCTGTAACTTTTTCACTTTGCATGCATGACTGCGTTTTAAAAATTTTCTTTGTGACTGCTAGTTGTATGTTATCCATCAAAACGCAAGCGAATATTATAATAATTGGTAAAGTTTCATGTTTTATTTGTTTAGATGTGAATGGTTATAGTTTTTGTGTGTAACCATTATTTTTCTACAAATTATGCACTTTTGGAGAATTTATCTCAAGGGACAGCCTAAGTTTTTTTTATTTAGTACCGGGTGGTCCGTTATAATAATTGTCCTCCCCCCATCTAACTCCTTTATAGATATATAGAAAAAAAGGGTAAAAACGAGAATTTTAGTATTTTTGTATGTAGTTTATCATGGCATTCATCGAATTCTTATAAACTATCACGTTTTTGAATATGAAAACAAGTAAGATTTTTTAAATGGAACATATACAGGGTGATTCACAAATGGTGACCAAAAATGAAACCTCGTATTCTTTCGTGACTTTAAAAAATCAGGCTTTTTTTCGAAAAACATAAGAGGGTAGTAATTTGTAGAAAATTGAAAGACGAATCCGAGAATATCATGATTGTTACCGTAAATCAGTGACGACATATTACCCTGTATCTCCGCCGCTGGAGCAACTAAATTTTAAGAGAACGCATCAAATTTTTGACAATGTTTACATAAATACTTGTGCCCAATTTCAAATTATTTCACTTACTAGTTTTTAAATTATTTAAACAAATTAAAAACATTTTTTTTAAGTTTAACACCCTGTATCTTTTTAACGAACCGTCCTAGATAAAAACTTTATACGACAGATTCCCCTTAAAATTCACTAAATAATAAGATGGGTCATTTTTGGTCACCGTTTGTGAATCACCTTGTATAAATAATTTTCAAAATAAACACTTCTTGTTAGTAACCAAGACACATCCATTCAAAAGAATAGATAAACGGTACTTAAATTAAGCGATGTTTATTACAAAATGTCACACATATATGACGATAGTGAATATCACCAAAACGCTGCAAAGACATCGCGCGTCATTATGCAAAACATTTCCAAATATGGTTTTATACAAAAATTTCGTGAAAGGACCATTTTTTAACTTATAGTCAGGAGAAGAAATTTTAGAAATTATAGCGACAGCTCTACTTACCGTATAGATGAGAGGAAGGATTATAGTCATGGCGAACTGCTTCCTGGCGGCCTGGCTCCCCGCGAGATCGTTATCCTTTCCAGCTAGGATATCTATGACTGCGAATAAGATGAAGACAACGGAGACCTCCACGAACAGGAACAAATGCGTTCCGAAAATGGTGTTGATCTGCTCCACCAAGTTCCCCAGGAGTTTATACAACTTCACCACTTCCTTCAGTCTGATTACGAAGTCGTTCTTGTTGTTTAGTAAACCTTCAACTTGCTTGTTGAGCACGTTGTATCTCCTCTTTAATAAATGAGTGAGATTGACGAACAGAACCAGTAGGAAGATCATGTAGAAGTGTGCAGTCCTCCAACCAATGAAATACAGCGGATTCCATCCCAAATTTGTCAAGTTGTAACTCTGGAAACAGTGCAAGGAAGCGCATAACAGGTACATGAAGACCAGCTCTATGTAGTAGATGTATAGCTTCTTTTTTACTTCGAATTTGTACTGGTGTAGAAGCGTCTCCGTCTGGGCGAAGAGCTGAAAGGAAATCTTCCAGTTCTCTCTCCTGTAGATGTTGGAGCTCAAGAAGCAAACAGCAATGAAGGTGTACTCTGAGAGAGCCCACAAGCCACTAGTCAGCGCGTGTGTTATGATGTAGTGCCTCCTGCTATACACTGCTGATTTATATAAAATGGAAATGTACTGATAGGTGAACATCGCCAAAAGTATCAGTAGGATCATAATTTTAATGCAGACTCCAGCTAGTTTACCTGCATCAAGATTCAGTGGAGCTACTCCTATGTATTTACCAAAAGCGAACAGCATTTTTACAAATTTGGTATCAGTTTTTTCCTCTTCCTTTTTGTTAACGGGATTTCTTTGCCAGTTTATGGCAAGCTCACTTTTTAAATTTTTAACCGTGTTATAGTCTTCCATTCTGTCTTACCTTCGAAAGGATATTAGGCAATTTGAAACATTTGTGAACTTCATTAAATATTAATGGATGTACTCAGAATATGGACAAAGTGTTGAGTTCTGTAATGGAGCGTAATTGCTTATGAGTGGTAAAGTTTTGGAATTATATTTATCGAAATAGGATAATTGAGGGGGAAATGTAACATGTATTACGGGGTTGTGTAAACTTTTAACAAAAGATGTATAATTTTCTTAATGTCTTTCTTAAGTGCAAAGTATTATAAACCTGTTTTATTTCACAGATCTTTATTATAAAATGTAGCTTATAGACTTACCCTTAGAATGGGATTTTAAAAATTTTACAGAAAAACAAAGTATAGAGTTAGAAGCAGTATTACCGGAAAAAGGAAAAATAAAAGGATTAAACTCGATAATTCTTTAATACAGTTAAAACAAAAGGTGATGATAACAATAAATAAACTAAAAAAATGCGGCAAACGGTTTCAAATACTACATACATATTACAATCTATTCTCTATATAACCTCCTCTCATTTCAAGACACATATCCAATCTTCGCCTGACTTCTTTGTGGTCTGCGTTTATTAACATTTCGCCGTTTAACTCATTACAAGCGTTTGTGATTTTCTTTCAAATGATTAATATCTCGCGAACGTGTTTTGTAAACCTTACTTTTTAAAAGCCCCATAAAAAAAAATCGAGGGGTGTTAGATCTGGTGACTTTCCGGGCCACTGAATAGGTCCATTAAGCCCAATCAATTTTTCTGGGAAAGTGTTATCTAAATTCTAAATATTGCCGCACAGTCCTGGCCTTGTGTGAAGCTCTGTCGTGCTGAAACCATAGGTTTCTCCTTAGCTGCAAAGGCGCATTCTTCAGAAATGCAGGAAGTTCTTCTTGTAAGAAATTTAGGTAACTCACGTTGTTCAATGTATATTCATAAAAATAATGCCGCACCATACATTTACTCCAAAATGGCCTTGGTTTTGGACTGGATTGTGGGGATTTTCAATGGACCAGTAATGTTCGTTGCGACTATTTGTCAAACCATTACTGACAAATCGACTTTCGTCCGTCCAAAGAACGTGCCGAAAATGGTTATGATCAACAGTTTCTACATTTACTACAATTTGAGCTGTACAATTAAGTTTGTTTTCAATGTGACGCTCAGGCAAATACTCCAAATTGTGAATTTGTAGTCATGATAACCATTGGTCTTTAAAATTCCTTGAACGGTTGATTTATCCAAATTCAATTCCCGGCTAGCCTGCCGTATAGAATTTCGTAGATTTTGTTCGAAATACTGTAACAGTCTAGCTGTATTAACATTGTTTTTTAACCTTCAATCAATTATTTGATTTTTCCGAACAGAAAATGCATCTTCATTTCGTCGCGAGGTTATTAGAGAAATTTTTTTGAAAAAATATAATTGATGACGTCGTTTTTGTCAAATGTTTTTATTAATCATTATCATTAGTTTATCATATTAAAGATATAACTAATCACAACACAATGAAATAGGTAGACACAACCAGAATATTGCCTAAAACCAACAACAGCAAAAATAGTTGACACAATTAATATTATTTTGTCCAACAGTTGCAGTTTTGTAGGTGTTTTAAAGGTTGGTTTTTAGAGGTTAAAATCAGATTTCAATTTATAGTTTTTAATAATTGTTAATTTTTATTTTATCTATGTATAACATCTCAAACAATATTTATATACAAAATCTAATTACAGTCCGGACAATATTTGTTGTGATAGATATCCAAGAAGAGAATAAGCCAATAAAGTTCTGTTATCGGAACTACTGTAACAATTTACCATGGTAGGGGCGTGCCTTGAAATGCCGCGTTATTTTCAGAATATTATAAATAGGCAAATTTTTTGAATTAAAATGTGTTTTTATTTTTCACCTCCATTGATTTATTTTAATAAGAAATTACATTGAAAGTGCACAGGACGATACACTTACGAATAAACACACTTCCCTAATTGCAAAACGTAGTATCCACTGCAAGCTGCTACGGTGAATGCCACGCCGTCATTGTCTTTCTACCTGGGGTGTCCAATGCGGATAATTCCAAGAAAGTGACGCAGGGGTCTTCTTGGAAGTTTGTCTCAACAAATATCTTACGGACTTTACAAAGATTATAGAAAGAGACATACCAAGATCAAAATGATATTGCCTAAAAAACTATGTACTTGTGTTATAAATATCATTCCATAGGTATTAAATATTTATTATGAATTTAAAAAAAAAGTTGAAAAGTGCTTATTTGTTAAAATCAGTTGAGTGACACATTCAAAACGATGTTTCGACGTTTTCACGCCGTCTTCATTACGCTAGAGCGAGATTAAACTGTATTATTATCACCAAGTAGGTGATGATAGCTTCGAATATGGCGGATAAAGTGGACTGGTTGACGTTGTAGAAACCTGCAGCCGAAAGGGTGGGTCTCCACTGCTCCGCGTACTGGGCCATTTGCAGCAGATGGTCCTTAACCAGTCTACTCTCAGTGCTTTCGTGCATGATGTAACAGGTCTTTATCACTTTCTTGCCGCTGGCTTCCAACCCGTCGCAGGATATGATCAATACTATCAGAGACAGCTGAAAAAAATTTAATGCAATTAATTTGTTACACAGCCTTACAACAAAAAAAGCCAATGTGTAATAGACTAGAGTACCATACGCATACGTTTTTACACGAATTTTAATTCAGTGTCCGTTTAACGAAGTTAGTTCATGTTTAAGGTTATTTGAAGGTCAACTCTTGTTTTTTTATGTTAATACAATTCCTGACCCGGATTCTGAGAAAGTGGGAAACTTTAAGTTCTAGGACGTGGTTGAGTCTTTTTCGTTGTCAAAATTGAAGGTCAAATTCCCCTTTCGAACTTCTCAGTTTGGTATTCCGTCAGGATAACGAGATATTGGTAAAATGACATTTGCAAATGTTGTTTGCTCTGAAAAGGCATGTGCATAATTCATTCTATAGTATTCAAAGGTATTACTTTAAAATAAAACTAGAGCTGACCTTGAAATAACCTTGAAGATGGCCTTCAAGGTCAACTCCAAGATGAGATGGTGGTTTCCAATGGCACAACAATTTTTGTTGATATTATGTCCCTGATATCTATCTATCCTGATGATATAAAAACCTGAGAAGTTCGGGAGGGGAATTTGACCTTCAAATGGCCTTGAAATTAAAAAAGTAACTCAACCACGTCTTCGAACTGAAAATTTCTCGTTTTTTCAGAATCCGGGAATAAAAATTGAATTACCATAAAAAAACAAGAATTGACCTTCAAATAATTTTGAGTATGAACTAATGTCGTCAAACGGACACCGGATTCGGATTCAGCAACGTCAAAAACGTATTTTTATTTGTATACCCGGTATATTAAAAATTGTATATTTGTATAAATTATATTTTTGCATTCATCCCTATAACTTAGTCGATTCTTAGTTGGAAAAAAAAATTATTGTAAACAATTTTCTATTAATTGGTGTTAAATTACTCAGTTGCGTGTGTACCTATTTAAATTATTCATATCACACACATCTGTCTGTATGGATAAAATTATATTATCAACCTATTCACGCTTCAAATCATTTACTGGAACAATTCAAGCGTCGCTTTTTTATAGATTCATCAGCAGTTAATTTTTATCAGTAATGCATTTTTTATGTAGGGTGTAATATAGGTGTCAAATTATGAGGGCTTATCCGTACAGGCTAATACAAAACTCTTCTTTCCTTAATTACTTTCATACATGTAAAATTTTGCCGTAAATTTGACGTGATTAACGTAAAATTTTGACGTTTTACGAAGCATTTCAAACTATTTGGACATGTAATGAGAACTGTAAGTTAGGACTTGGCATTCTTTAAAAAATAAGTCTCTTTTAAAATATCGACTTTGGCAAGGTTAAACGTCTTAATTTGCTTGATATATTTTTCAAAATTCAATTAAATGTTCAATATGTCTACCCCTTCCGGAATATATTGAAATATCGGACATATTTATTTGCGTATACAAGTTAATTCAGTTATAAAAGTAGAAAATTGAAAAAAAAATTTACTCGACCTTTTAAAAAATAAGCAAATTACCCCCGTTAATACGACGCCCTACTCAGAACACATTTTATTACAAGGATCGCTCTGGTAGACTACAAAACGTTCGAATGTTGAAGCAAAACAGCTTTATGGGCTTAAAATTAAGTAAAAAATACACAGAATAAAAGCTTAAATCTGTGTGTTTGTAGAGCGTCATATTGCTTATAACAAAAGAAAAAAATATATTGCTCTTCTTTAAGTTTTTCGTTTATATCTCCGAAAATAAGCCTCTAATCGACATGAGCTATACCTATCGATTTTGACCCTAAGAAAATTTGCTACAAGGATGGGCTATTGCAAAATTAGCGGTGAAGAAAAAATGTGCAAAAATTTCAGCATTAAATAAAAAGAACGAATTTGATTGAAAATGAATGAAACTAAAGAAAAAAATAACAGTTGGGGTGCTCAACAAATACCCGCAATCCGGACCCCCAAAAAAACTGAAGAGAACAATTTTTTCTTTTGTATTTCTATATATTTTTTACTTAATTTTAAGCCCATAAAGTTTGAGTTAGGCCCGATGTTCGAAAAAAAAAACTAATTCATCCGGACTATAAGTATACGTACTACAAACTGAATAATTAATTTATTGATTAATTAATTAGTGAAAACGTTAATAATATTAAAAATACTAAATTGTAATATCCTAACAGTAAAAGACCGAATAATATGATAGGTCAAGATTCACTCTCGATAAACCTTTATGGGTTAGCGGTAGGAGCGGTCCGAAAAGAGATTTATGTAATGATTTGAAAATATTTTTTTCAGCGTAAATATATATATTTTTTTTTATCGCGTATTCGTATTCTACTTAAAATTTATGACATTATGACATTACGCATTTTTTTATCCAGGATTTATCTATTAGAATGAACTTCTGTTATCGAAGAACATTGTTTGATTTCATTTGACAAGATTTTTAAATTCTTAAATTGAATTTGTTTGAATTAGCTTGTTTTGTTTGTATATCGGGTTTACTCAAATGCACAGATGTACTTGAAATTTATATAGCGTATTAGCCAGTACTCCCTCTGTGCGTCATATTTTTTTGAATTTTTTTTTAATCTAGATTTTGAGATGTTGTTGTTGAAAGTTGTTCATTTTAACATAGGTTTATATGGCGAAGATGGACGGTGCGGCTCTTTTTTTGCCCATAACTGAGAAAAAAATGTAGAAATTGTGAAACAAAACTTTTCCATAGATAGTACACAGTATTATCTTATTTTTGATGTAAAACTAATGTAAGTTTTGAACATAGTACAGCTGTATTAATTAGAAACAGAAACCAATAATTGCATTTCTGTCTGACTTGAGGATTAATGTGGCAACGTCGCAATCAGCTGACAGCAAGGAGGGAATACATTTGAAAGACTTGATAAAAACGAAATTGATTTCAAACATATACATTTTTCCTAAATCCCATGTACATTGTTATCAACAATAAATTATCCACAACAGATGATTTTTTGTAATGTTTTTAAAAAACTAGATTAATTAAAAAAGACTAGGAAGCTGTGATATATTTATTGGAATAAAAAATACAGTTGATAAATCCTTTTAATATATTTAATGGTTTATAAAAACATCGTAATCATTACCCAGCAATATTTAGGGTTACATAAAGTTTTCTTTACTTGATTAATATAATTAGTAATACTTGAGATAAAAGCATTTGTACGGAATAACAAAGGAACATAAATATTTCTCAGCAAACTTTATATCTAAAAAATTAGTTATAGTTGCAAAACTTTTGTAACATTACTAAAATAGAGATTAAAAACACGAACAGTGAGTAATAATGTAATTTCTATCACAGAACCTTCAAAATTGCATCCAACATTTTCTTTGACTTGGACGAGAGATGGGCGCGAGTGTCATTTCATTTCTTTAGAACTAAATTAACATAATTCTCGTTGTTTTACCAGTTCACATGATTTACGGATTTTAAATAAAGGATACAAATCTTCGCGAGGATAATACGATATATTTGCTATATGTAATAATTATATTGTACATAGTTTACACACAATACATTTTTGAACACGCACGCATGTTTACCCGAATTTGACGCGCAATATCTTCGATGTCCGAGGTCTGTAGGTTCGCAGTGTGTTTTCAACTGCACTCGATTATTAGCGCTGTTGCCACATCTACATAGTGTTTATGCATTCATCAAATATAATTTAAAACTACTTAAATATGATATTATTATGTTGTTAATTTTCTATATGTATGCTACGTGCATGTGAGTAGATTTCTTTGCTATATAGATAATGTTTATCTCAAATAATTTCAATAGAATTTAATTTTCTCAAACTGGCAGCGGGTTTTAGTCCCATAAGAAAGGCATAGGCCCCCCCTGCGATCTTCACTTCCCTCGGACCTCGATATACCTCCTTAATACATCAAAAAATGTCCAAGTAAAACTTCCTGCTTAAGGGATATTAGGAAATTAAGCAGCAAGTAATAGGATAGTAAGTATTTAAAATTATTGCAATATGTGGCAAACCAAGTTCTAAATCAAACTTTCATAAGTGTAAATAAATAAAAGGGACACTTGACCCAAATATAGTACCTATATTTAATTCGAATCGTAAATGTGTGCATAAAGGTAATGGGTGTAAATGTACAAAAATTGTGCCGGCATTAGATATAGATATGCAGAATTTCACACTACGTGAAAAAAAAGGTAAAAATGGCATAAAAAGTCCTGTGTTCTCGCCACGCTGTATAAGTGAAAACTACGCTACTTACAGTGTAGACGACTGTAACGGTAATAGACAAAATAGACGAATCCTTCGCCGTCTCGTTTTCCGCGTCTATATCCATATTGTAAGAAATGGCACACAGCATATAGCTGATCGTGACGCTGATGAAGAAGAACAAGTGCGGTCCGAATATTCCATTAATGCTATCCATCAGAAACATGAAGGTTTTGTACAACCGTACAATCTCAGTCAACTTTCTAACCTTTTCCTGGTCGTCCATTTTACTACCCGCAATATTTTTTAAGTTGTCCTCCACAAACTCATACCTCGCCTTCAGGATGCCCGTAAGCCTTAGGACGAAGAATAAGAACAGGCACATGTATAAGTACGCAACATAGGAACCAACGAAGGAATATAAAGCGATCATGTTGCCCCCACTGATCCATAAAAAGACCTGGAAGCTTGTCAGAACAACGTAGGGTACGAAAATTAAAACTACTTGGAGCAACAAAATCAGATCCTTCTTGGGCGATTGGAAACTCATCTTGCGAAGCATGTACTCCGCTTGGTCGACAGATCTCAGCGCCGTCTTCCAGGTTTCCTCCTTGAAAGCGTTGGCGTTCAGGAAGCAGCTCATGAGGTAGAGCATGTTCATGATGCACCACAGGTCCGCCAGCAAAAAGCGAGTTATGGGCGAGTCTTTCAGAAGACCGTAGGAATCCGTGATGGAAAAATACATGTAAACGACGCATAGCAGCGACAGGATGATCGAGAGGTACTTCCCGAGCTTCCGATTGCTCTCGTCTTCGAAGTTGAAGGGCGTCACGAAGAAGAACTTGTAGCAACGGAGCAACCCTATTATCACCTTCACGTCATACTGGTCTGTCCTCAGGAAGGCCCGTTTGTACATGTTGAATTTGTTTTTGGAGGCATTTTTCTCCAGGGGGGCGTCCACGAAGTACAACGCCATGCTGGTCGAGGTGAGGTGGCTATTCAAATGGAAATCGTTACAGCTTACCGTATCGTGTTTGCGTGTACGATACCGATCGGTGTCACTTGATTTTCATAGGGTAGTTTATAATTAATTTAGTATTGACGGCGTGACAGCGAATAGTTCGAAATGTTAGTTCACTGATATGATCTGATTGTGAGTTAATTTTCGTCAACACTATGATTGGATCATTCCAGTGAGATATTTACTCAGAATTCGATTCTATTTAAAAAAATTGGGCGTCGCATTCCGGAAATATAGACCGGTTTTATTTTCATATGCAATACCCTGTATATTAGGATGGCTCAAAAAAAACGAATATTTTTTTCCGTGTCTCTTGTGAAAGTATGTTAGTTTGTCATGTTTTAAGAGCCCCCTCAAAAAATCAGCTCAAAAACATTTTTTTAGAGGTCGCTCACGATTTTTATAAATTTCCAAAATCGTCACAGATTTATTTTTCTCGTTATTTTATCAGTTTCTAGGTTGAAAAAAATCTCGATTCTGAAAATTTCAAATCGATATTTTAATTTCTAAAGGTCACTCAAAATTATTTTAACTTTAAAAGTAGTGTACCTAAAACGTTTTCGAGCGACCTCCAAAAATAAATATGAACGAACTAATAATTTTTTTTATTGAATTTGATGAACAAAAGAATAGAAAGAAATTACGAGACACTTAAAAAATTTATCGAGGCAAAATTTACTACCGCACTGTGAGTATCAAATATTTATAATTTTTTAAAATTTAAGTGTCTCGTGATTTATTTCTATTCTTTTGTTCATCAAATTAAATTAAAAAAATTATTAGTCCGTTGATATATATTTTTAGAGGTCGCTCGAAAACATAGGTAGGTACACTATTTACTTTGAAAGTTAAAATAATTATGAGTGACCTTTAGAAATTAAAATATCGATTTGAAATTTTCAGAATCGAGATTTTTTTCAGCCTAGAAAATGATAAAATAAAGAGAAAAAAATTAAAAAAAAAATTATTTTTGACGATTTTGGAAATTTTTAAAAATCTTGAGCAACTTCTAAAAAAATATTTCAAACAAAAGTTACGTATTACGAATCTGCAATAAAAATTATGGGTTTCCGTTTAAAAAATCAAGGTTGACCTCCTTGAAACATGATAACTTTTGTTCGAAATATTTTTTTATAAAAATAAAATTTAAAAAAATATGTGGCCTGGTATATTAAAATATTACACCCTGTATATACTGAGGGTGCCTTTGGCTTTCAGAAACACGTATCATAAGCTTGTTTTCTCAAATTCTATTGATGATGAAAATTGATTTTTTAAACTTCTTTTTAGAAATTTTCATACACCGCCGCTACCAAGCTAGTGTGACTTCAAACAACAGCACGCGTTAGCCGCAGCACATACACACTCCAGATCTGCGGTATGCAGTGATGTCAAATCTCGTAATTTAATGGAAAAGTTATGGATTAAAAAGCAAATTTTATTAAAAACCGTATTTCTACACCACCCGCCATGAAATCGAAAACACCGCACCACACTAAATTAAAAATGTAACAAAATGAAGCGGTGCCGCCGTCTTCGACCATTCCCGTTTCGCTCAGTTAACGTATCAGTTTGTTTTGTACCCGTTTACCATCCCATCATATCACACCAAGTGTGAAGTTAACTGTCAGTAGTGGATTTTCAGAGGCGGAAGTACGGTATTTGAACTGAACAGCGTTGTTCTTCGTAAGCGTTCGGAACAGGATCGGATTCTGCTTAAATATAAACTGTTCAGGGTTTAATTTCCTTACTGTTTTGTTTAATTTGGATTAATTTAATATGTCTAGCACCTATTAGCCGTTAAAGTGGCACAACATACCGTATTGTGTTTAGAATTTTATAACTTTAGAATATTTTTACTTTACGTAATGACAGTAATATAGTTCAACTAAATTAGGCTAATGTCAGATGTCATTGACTTCGAGATTCACAACTTACACTGCTTAAAAAATAGTAACACATAATTATTTTAAAAACTTGCAACTATTTAAAAAAATATTTGGTATCAATCGGATTAATATTTTTTATTTATTTTTTTATATACGTTTTTTTTTGATTATATTTTAAAACGTTCATTGATTTAGATATTCACAATTACATACTTACCAATATTAGTTAATATTTATTAATAAATCAATAGTTTATGAGAATAAAGGAATTTTTGTAGGAACAAGGGTGCCAGACCTGAACTGATCACCTCGTCCCTTCATAATGTATAAAGAAATCATTCAATTTGTAAAACCCTTAAAAGCGTACTTCATTGGTTCCCTTGACAGGCAATGATTTATTACTTTGCATCGAATATGATCCTACTATAGTACTTTTACCCTTAAGAAACTGATCCTCACTTAAATTTATATCATATGCAGGCTGTACAAATTCGCTTCTCACTACCGAAATCTCGGAAATGGTAAGAGGTACGAAGTAGCTTAAATGGGGGCAAAGTTACGTAATCAGGGGACCAACATTATGCCCCTAAAAAATCAAGGCTAACATGATCAGTTTTCGAAATATTTGAAAAAAAACGAAATTTTGGAAATCCGTGTTTGTTTCATTTCAGCCTTGTTTGAGGTGAAATTAAAAAAAACACTTTCTCATGGCCACCTTTTGCCCTCTATCGAATGGCATAATCAATTTTTATATGTAACGTTTCGTCTCTCCAGGACCATCATCAACTTCATTTTTTTAAATACGACCTTAGAAATTTTATNAATTTTTTTAAATTTAAGTGCCTCGTGATTTATTTCTATTCTTTTGTTCATCAAATTAAATGAAACAAATTATTAGTTCGTTGATATTTATTTTTAGAGGTTAAAAAGAAGTTAAAATAATTATTATGAGTGACCTTTAGAAATTAAAATATTGATTTGAAATTTTCAGAATCGAGATTTTTTTCAATCTAGAAAATGATAAAATAACGAGAAAAAAATTAAAAAAAGATATTCAATTTTTGACGATTTTGGAAATTTTTAAAAATCTTGGGCAACCTCCAAAAAATTTTTTTTTGAGCTGATTTTTTCAGGGGGCTCTTAAAACATGATAAACTAACATATTTTCACAAGAGAGACGCAAAAAAAATATTCGTTTTTTTTGGACCACCCTATATATTTACTATTGAGTTAGTTAGCACAGCGGAGCCTTTAAGATAACTAAACATGCTTATACAGGGTGTAACTTTCGATGGGGGCCATATACAGAGTGTTCCATTTTAATGTACCAGCCCTCATAATTTTTTTTAATTCGATTTTCATAATAAAATATTTCGAACATAAGTTATCACGTTTCTAGGGATTCAAATTATGATTATCTTGAATTTGACCTTGAAGTCAATTATCAAGATCATTTCAAGGTCTACCTTGATTTTTTAAGTGGAAACCCATATTTTTATTACAGTTTTGTATTCCGCGGAAAAAAATACGTAACTTTTGTATGCAACATTTCTTTAAAATGCTTTTCCCCCGCCAGAGTGCGCTATAGTTTTACTTTCCATTTTAATTCTCAGGCTAATATCTCAAGAAATAAGCAGGATCATGAAAAATATTTCCAACAAAAGTAGTCAGGTTTCGGGGGGATCAATTCTCGTGACCCTGAAATTCACCTTAAAGCCAATTATCAAGGTCATTTCAAGGTCAACCTTGATTTTTTAAATGGAAACCCATATTTTTATTACTTCATAAAAATATATAATTTTGATAAATAATGACGAAAGTTGTAGTAATCATTATAGATTAATACAATAGCAGTTGGGGACTGTTTTATAGATATAGATGAGTCAGAAATAGAACACCTAGTACATTTTTGCAAGTACAAATATATACAGGGTGTTTTTTTTGAGCGATGGGGATTTGGAATGTCAGAAAACCTGCCAATTTTTCAGAAAACTTTGACCTTCAGGAGGGCCCATTTCTGTAATAAAATCAATCCCGTAACTTCAATTCCCTTAACAAAAAATAGGGAATGGTACACCAATCTGTACATAAACTTACTATATGTATGAGAATCAGCAATGAGTATGTATTTCTTTCTGTATCATCAGTTTCTTCATTTTTCTTCAGCATGTACAAACAACCATTCAACAAATACATCAGATTTATGTTTATGAAGAAAAACACGTGCCAACCAAAAATAGAATTAAGCTCGGTCACCAGACCCCCCAAACTTTTCAAACATTTTACAACGTACTCCAAGTCACAGATAATCTTTTTCTGGTTGTTTTCCCCATTCTTGACAGTTCCAATTATTCTAAAGTTTACTTTACTGTAAATCCTTTTCAGCAGAAGCGTAATATTGACCATCAAAATGCAGACAAACAGCGTATAGTAGTCTGCCAGTCTCCATCCACAAAACCTGATGCAGAGTTGGCAAAAGTCGTACTCCATCCAGTGCAGTACCTCATAGGCGATGGTAGCCGTGAAAATGACGTAAATCATTAATAATTCAACGTATACAAAGCAGACGTTTCGGGTCACGTCAAATTTACATTTAATCACAAGTTTTTCCAGGTGGACCATGAGTTTGAAGAATCTGGTCCAATGCCGTCTTCGGAATACGTTTGATACCAATAGGCAGGTTGTTACATGAAAATAGTACATCAAAAACGATAGGCAATACGTTATCATTTCTGTAATCGGTACATCCATTCCCTGAAAAAACTTTATCGTCGAGATAACTAGGTTAAAAGTACTCACAGCGACTAACAGGACGGCAATGCACCTTGCACATAACCCGCTATTTAAATTAAAAGGTATAACGCATATGTATCGTCCCAAGGTAAATAGAAGGTGTAGGGACCTAAACTCATCCCTTTTTGGACGTGCTGAAGGGAAAGTTTGTCTGGAAACCGAGAGAAATTCCTCGGGTGCACTTTTGCGTGTCTACCTTTCATTTTGTTCAATGCGAATCGAACTAGTGGACGATTAGGTCAACTCAGTGTTACCGCTTAGATTTACATGCATTTTTAATAAGCAAATTAGTGCTTTTGTGGTGTCTGTTTAAATAGCAAGTCGTAACTGATATAATAGCACAGCAAATACTTGTTTTTCTTGTGAAACGGAACATGTATTTTCAATGAAACCTTTAACTAATATTAATATTCAAGTGAATTCTAAACAAAAAATCATACTTAATAGTTGATATAGGTACAGTCCGTTTGATTATAAGCTATAACTCGGTTACCCACTTTTGGACACCCTGTAAAATATACAGGGTGTTCCACCTAAGAGGGATTCTTCTGTAACTGCAACTGTAAAATTTATAAAGAGAAATGGTTTTAATAAAAGTTGTCTGGAATCATGTGGGCCAAGCAAAGAAAATATCTTTGTTATTTTAAATGGAACACCCTGTATATTATTGAACTTTTTGAATTCCTTGGTTAATATTAGGTAGAATTTATTAAATGTACATGGTGTTTAAAACTTACCATTGTCGAGATAATCAATTGTTTTTGTCTGAACAACGTACACGTTCTGGTCACAGATGACAAGATAGAGTAATTTATGCCAAGCCTCATTTCGCACAGCCTTTGGCTTTGGATTTGGGGGTTGTCTCATTTCTGTGGTGTGTTTTATGTTTAAAAAATATATATTACAGTAAAAACGTGCAGTAACTGACAGAATATGACAAGCAGAAAGTGGATTTGTCAACCGAACCTCATCCAAATACAAGAATTTGTAATTAAATCGTGCAGAAAATGTTAACCAAGACATATAGAACGTGCTTGTTATAAAGGGTTCTGATTGATAATAGTTGAAGCCCGCAACTGCCCATGCTGAGGGTTGTGAGGGTCGAACGCGGTCCTTGCTAACACCGCAGATTTCTCAACGTGGAGCAACGCCGGTTGAATTGAAAAGGTGGGAAACATTTTAATAACAACATCGTTCTCCTTCTATAGTCTGTTTGGAAATGAAAGAGAGTAATAAAACCCCGAGATAAGAACCGGCCATGGGCGTGGTAATATTTCGTTTCAGGTAATTATCGGGTAACACTAATGCTAACAAAAATGACAGGGATTGGAAAATCGACTATCTACAGACTTTTAAAGGAAACAAAAAATGAACAAGATACTGTAAATCCCCCAAAATCATCTACAGGGAGGTCAAAAGTCGTTATAGATGATTTCTTCAAAAATGTCATTCGCAGAAAAGTACACTCATTTTATTTTAAAAAAGAAATACCAACGCTAAACAAAATTTTAAGTGAACTTTCAGAGGACAACGATTTGCCAAAAATCAGTAGAAGCAAATTATGGGCCGTCTTACGAGAGTTGAATTTTTGCTGGGAAAAGCAGAACAGGAAGTCAGTTCTTATCGATAAAGATGAAATTATTTGTTGGCGAAGATCCTACTTAAGATCAATTAGAAAATTCCGTGACGAAGGGAGGAATATTTATTATCTAGACGAAACTTGGGTCAACGAGGGATATACTGTAACAAAAGTATGGCAAGATAAAAATGTAAAAAGTTTTCGACAAGCATTTTTGGATGGACTTTCAACAGGGTTCAAGGCACCTTCAGGTAAAGGGCGAAGATTAATAGTGACACATATAGGTAGTGCCAGTGGTTTTGTAGATGGCGGTTTACTTTTATTTGAATCTAAAAATACAGGTGACTATCACGAAGACATGAACGCAGATGTTTTCGAAGAGTATTTTACACAGATGTTGGATCTTATTCCTCCGGGGTCTGTAATTGTCATGGATAATGCCAGTTACCATTCACGGCAGACCGAGCGGACGCCTACGACTGCTTGGAGGAAAGCCGATATAATTCAATGGTTATCCGGAAAAAACATTTCTTTTGAAACAAATATGGTGAAAAAGGAACTTTTGACACTTGTCAATCTTAATAAAGATCAGAAAAAATATGTTATCGATGAAATGGCAACAAATCGCCAAATAACGGTACTACGGTTACCACCTTATCACTGTGAACTTAACCCAATCGAATTAGTCTGGGCGCAGGTAAAAGGAGATGTAGCGCGAAATAATACGACGTTTAAATTAAGTGACGTGAAAATTTTGTTAAAAAATTCCTTGGAACGAGTAACTGCAGATAACTGGCAAAGATGTATACATCATGTACAAAAAGAAGAGGAGAAAATGTGGGAACTCGATAATTTAATTGACGTTACTGTGGAACCTATCGTTATCAATCTAGGAGACGAAGATAATTCATCAGAATATTCAGAGGATGAATTTTAATATACCTACTTTTTTATTTTCTTTATTGTACATTTATACAACACTACATTTACTCACCATAATTTGAATTTTCAAAATACATATATTTTTGTGTGGAATAAAAGTCTATTCATTAAATTTAAATAAATATTTTGATAATAATATTGAATAATTTTATTTGAATTACTAAAAACCCTCTTAACCCGGTTATGATGCTTAAAGTAGCCTCATGTTTTGAAATGCTGTTTTTATATTGTTTACTTATAAGAGAAATGGACCGAGAAATTGAAGCGGCATAGACAAAGACGGATTGTCGGGGATTAAATTTTAGCTACCTGCTACAATTTAGTACAACCCGGTCACACAAAGTTTTTTTAAAAGTACACCTCATCTATACCGATAATACATAATATAAAAATATTGAATATAACCACCAGTACTACATTTATTTACGATTTGCATACATAATAAGCTTTTATTACTCTCTTTCATTTCTAAACAGACTATAGCTGTTGTCCTCCTGGTGGTATGTAGACGTGGTTGCATATTTCTGGTCAATGTGGAGCTATTCTCGAGGCCGAAAGTTCGAAAATACGTTGCAACTTTTCTTTATCATATTCTGTCGCTTGGATGTGCAAGTCCTGGTCTCTCAAAAGGTGGGTGAAATTTCTCTCAATCGTCCTACGCTGCTAAGACTGTCAATTTTGACCCTCTGCGTATTGCTGCTTTGTCAGAAGACGATGGGGCGGGACATTCGAAAAGTGGGTGATTTTCGTGCCACTGACTTGAGTTCCGCAGTATGTTGCTATTTGATTAAATGTACCTTTTCGATGCGAAACTTAAGTTATTCTTTATTTACTAAACGAAAAAAGAATGGTGAAATATAGACACTATCAACTTCTATCTAAGATTAAAACATAATTTAGAATCTTACAATTAGACTAATCTGGAATGTTTTTTCTTCTCTTCTTGTAAGGATAAATCAAACTGTTCCACCAACACCAGATAAGAAACAATGGCGGAGACCAATGCTGGTAATGTTCTCTGGTTGACGTTGAAGAATCCAGCTGCCGAAAAAGTAGGGGACCATCGTTTGAGATAAGTAACCAAAAGTAGTATCTGCTCTTTTATTTGGTAGTCTTCTTCAGTACCATGCAGGTTATAACAATTTTTGACGACGCTTCTACCGCTTTTTTCGACAGATTCGCAAGCCATCGTTAACAGAACCAAGGAATACTAAAATAAAGAGGTCAATTGTTTACTTACTGTTTTTCTGCTGAACCTTTGAATTAACAATAAAGTTCTAATTTTAGGATTTTGGAAATCTAACTTTAAGAGTCTGAGATTTTCGGTGGCACATTATAATCGAAATAAATTTTAGTTAAAATTCTAAAGTCACCCTTTACATCAGCAAAGCTTAAGATTTCTTTAATTAGTCATTGAAAAATCGCGTTGGTATACAATTGTACGATACCTACCAAGTATATTGCAGTATATAAAATCATTACAATTGTCATGTTGATTCCTATCAGCAAAGTATCTATCACAACTCTACTCAGCAACCTCACAATGATCACAAAAGTAGAGAATACGCAGAGAAATATCTGCAACCCAAATACATAGTTATATTCTTCTACCAGCAAGTGCAAATTCTTGTACACTTTCAAAATACCCCCTATTCTCGACCTAAGGACGTTTATGTCTGTTATTTCTTGTAGTTTTACCACAACAGCGTCCATGTGGTCGTACCTGCTGTGCAGTATTTTCGCCAAGATGTAGAGAAACGTTGTGACGGAAGTCATGTAAACTGGAAACACAGCCCATCCGAGTAACGTCAAAATCTCATGCGGTCTTCCAAAGTATATCAAAACAACTGAATGGAATATACGGGAGAATACACAGACAATGATACCGGCGAATGTGTCAAAGTAGAGCAGAGGACGAGTACGTGTTACTCTGAAGTTAAATTTTACCATCATCAGATCTATTTGTTTCAAAGTGGCGAAAATCTTCTTCCAGTTTGTGCAATGGAACAAATTTGCTTTTGCCAGAGACGTGGTGACGAATAGAGTCCTGGATACGTAGAACAAAGTTTTTATGAAAACGAAAAATGTGTTGTCGAATCTGTCGTATTTCACCTTCAGTATGAAGGTGATGAAGTTGAAAAGGAAATAAGCCATCACCAATGAAGAAACGACGCATTTTGTGATGACACGTCTCGGACTGTTTGCTTTCATGCTAAGAGGAGTCACTCCGATGCATCTGGTATATTTGAGCAGAACTCTAAACACTTCTATATCGTTTTGTAGGTTAACAGATATGTGCGTTGATTTTGATGCGACTTTTGAGGAAAGGTTATCCCTGACTCTACTGCTCATATTTTTTAATAAACCCTTTATTTGTATGCAGTGATGTAAATGTTGTCGACTGCTTTTCCGTACTAATGGAAATTTTAACAAACCAATCCATTAAATGTAGCATGAACTTTGTTTACGTAATGAATATTTTATCGGGAAAGTAAAATCATAATCGATTCAAGATAGTTTGATGCGCAGAAGATAAATTTTCCATGAAATTAAGTGTACGGGGTGTATGCGGTCTTGGAAAATATTTTTGATAAACCTAATTACTGTAAAGTTGCAATAATACCTAAATTATCCCTTTTTCTTTATTGTCAGTACTTCAATTGCTGTAATTCTTATTTTGTTCTTCAAAAAGTAATTTTTGTGCACTTGAATTTTCTATAAAAATATTCTGGGTGCTATACTGAATAAATCATAGATGCCAGTCTAACTACAACGAATCCCTTGGCATTACATCGTTGGCAGCGATTGTAGTCTAACTTGTAAGACTAATCTAATTGTTCCATGACTCCATTCATCCTTTTCTAGAATCGAGGTAGTTGCTCTATCATGTCTAGTGGAACCTTTGCACTGAAATCGCTGGATTTGTTGGTTAAGATACATAAATCTTCTCTTCACAAAACGCCATAACGCTTATGTGTAAAACTGATCAAAGTAAGCATTATAGTATACTTTTTATGAGATATCCAGCTATAGCAGTACTAAGTACAGTTGCGAGTACATCATTTTATAAGCACGACTACTTCAAATGGAAAATTAGCTTAATTTTGGTAACACTGAAATCGAATTTATCCGAAACTGCTTCTAATTCGATGATGGCTTGGAGGAATATCTGCCAGTTCTTCATCAAGCATATATTTCTGATCACAAGATAAGTAACGAAGAGGAGTTTGTCTGCCATCATGTTCGCAAGGTTTTTAATGCGACCTGGTCCCTTTATTTGTATAAGAAATGATGATTTGAAGGAATATAAGTCACCAGTTGTCATTAATACAATCCAAGTGTGGGTGGTTTTAGTTGTGTCCTGGTTGTTTGAGTGGAATCAGGCCGAAAATTCTACAGATATCAATGCATAGTTTCAGTGCTTTTAAGTCGTTTTTATCTGTTTCTTTAAACGACTCTTGTGAAGCGAACAGTATTTTTCTCTTTTGCATCGTGATAGATAAATTCAAATGTTCAGTTCCAAAAAATAATAGTATTTAATTGTGCGTAAAATGGATATATGTCTAATTTGTTAATGTGTATGTTTTTTTTTTGTGCAATTAACATATATCTTTTATAATTATCGCGATTTTATTTATTTACTTCTTGAGTACAATTAATTTAATACTTTGAAATGCACTTACGATCATTAGTCATCCAAAAATGAAAAATAAAAGGACGATCCCATACCTCATTATTTAAAGCATTAATTTGCATGGGCAAATATTTTCATGACCAAGAGCCGATGCTTCAAGATGACAGCTATTAACGGCTGACTGCATTGCACAAAATATTTAAACAACGGTACTTTCAAGTGTTCATATGATGCTGATTATTTTTGCCTCCCGAGCTTATAAGTGGTCTGATAAGTTATTAGTAAATTAAATGATATTTTTATTGACAATATTAATTTCTTCATTTTCTCTAATATAAAGTACAACACATTATTTGAATATGGTTTACTATAGCACAATGATGAATATTGTTACTATTGCACAATTAAATTTTTATTGACTGCAAAATTAATAAAATTGAAGTACTTCATCAATTTTAATTTGAAAGAATCCGCGAGTGCTTAATTCTCTCGCGATGATGATGAATCTGCCATAGCAAGATTGAGTTGCATCAAGGCCACTAAATACTTGATAGTAGCCTTAAAAATAGAAGACAGAGTCAGTTTGTTGACAGTATAGAATCCAGCAGCTGAAAACGTTGGTTTCCATTCTTCTGCGAATTTAGCCAGTTGAAGGAGATGCTCTTTTATTAGTGGACTCTCGGAGCTTTCATGAAGCAAGTAGCAAGTCATAATCAGTTTCTTCCCGCTTGTCTCGACTGAGTCGAATGACATGATCAGCAGTATCATACAGATCTGGAACAATGTTAAGGAATTCAATATCACGAAACATATGAGTTATTGCGAAAAATTGACCAGTAATTTTGATATAAGGGTGTGTTAACTCTGAAAGGTCACACTAGTGCGAATTCGCACCACCGTTTTTTTTTTAATTTGAACAGCTGGCATTTCTCAGGTAGCAGCTGCCGAGGGTTCCCCCCCACCACGATAATTCCTTCTACAGCCCAAACAGTCGAGCCTTATCACGGTTGGTTTCGGTTTGTTATTGTCGGTTAAATGGCCGATCGGTGCGAATTCGCACTAGTGTGACTTTAGTGTGCGCAAAAGTGTAGCTGAATTTATATCATGTAATCTAGAAATAAAGTAAATTGAAATGCAAATTTCCCATTTTTTCACCTCATTTTACGTGTCGAATGGAGAGAACGTTTTTTATTTAGTTATTTTTAATAAAATTTTCAAACATTTTTTTTCATAAATGGTTTAATAAATTTAACGGATTACATGTATTTGTCGATATTTGTGATTAATATTGTCTAATATTTTTATGCAAAACAGTGCAACATAAACATCAATTTACAGGAAAAGAGCCAAAAATCACAACTTCAAAAAATGACTATATACAGGGTGTCCCACCACGAACTTCATAAATGGATATCTGGGAAACCGCTTTAAGGATATTTTGGAAATTGCGATGGTGTGATACGGGCCTACCAAGTTAAAAATATTTTCAAGGTCATCGTACTTCCGGTTATACCAGAAGTCGATACCAACTTTCTTATTTTAAATGGAAACCCCTGTATATTATTGCATTTTTGGAAAGAACATTTATTTTTTAGTTTAAAACATATAGCACACTTCGTACTTGGGATTGACCGTTTCCGAGATATCTTGATTTTTAGGTAAAAATTGACAGATGCACTGTCAGCAAAATTTAATTTTTGAAACAGATTTATTTTTTTGTGCGAACTGGACATTTTGTAGAGGAAGATCTAATTTATCAGATTTGACATTTTCCAATTTTTATGCAAGGTGGCCAAAAAAAAATAATCGGAAAAGGGCAATGTTTATTCGTAAATAAAGTGAAAACGATTGGGTTTAGGTATAGGGAAACTTTAACAAAGTTACACTCAATTTTAATGTAGAATGCGAATATGTTAAAAAAAATTGGTGGTTTCCATTTAAAAATTTCGAGTTTTCTACATTTCCTGAACTTCATATTCAATCATTTTTTTTGACCACCTTGTATAATTGGAAAATTTTCATGTCAAATCCGATAAATTAGATCTTTCTCTACAAAATGTCCAATTCGCACAAAAAAATAAACTTGTGTTTCCGGGAAAACAAAATTTTGCTGACAGTCTCCGTCTGTCAATTTTTACCTAAAAATCTAAATATCTCGGAAACGATCAATCCTAAGTATGGAATGTGCTATATGTTTTCAACTTAGAAATAAATGCTCTTTCCAAAAATGCATTAATATACAGGGGGTTCCACTTAAAATAAGAAAGTTGGTATCGACTTCCGGTATAATCGGAAATACGAAAATATTTTAGCTTGATAGGCCCTACGGACCGCATCACACCACCACAGTTTCAAAAAAATCCTTCGAGCGGTTTCCCAGATATCCATCGATGGAGTTCGTGGAGAAACACCCTGTATTCGAGACACCAGGAAATATGGGATATTTTTTTCTTAAAAATATGGACTTTGAACTTCAAAATCCTTTTTTTTACTTTTTCTCTAACCATTATTTATAGAAAAAATACGAATTAAAAAAAAATCATTTTTTGGAAAACGATTTTTTTGAATCGCATTTTTATTAACAATTTTTTTTCAAAACTAATTGCATCATTCGATTTCTCGGAAAATTGAATCCCAGTTTTGATTAAAAAAATACGTTTTCGTTAACATATAAAGAAAACATAAAGGTTGAAAGTTGGCACAATCCCAATTCACACTAGTGTGGCCTCTAAGGTGGCCCACTCCAAGTGTGACGTTTGACGGTTAAGAAGCGAATGCGAACGCTTTGTGAACAGGTTCCTTGGCGTCACTTGCCTATCTATATTTTCGAAGAACTGTACTCACCACATATGACAGACAATATACTACATTCTGCCCAAATTGTTCACTAATGGTTCTCTCGCCCATCTGCGCCAAAAGATTGTGTTGAATAAGAGTTATGAGGAAATTCTGGTTCTTAATTATGTAAAAGTATACGTGCCAGCCAAATATCGTGTTAACTTCCTTCACCACACAATGACATAATCTGTACACCTTCAGGACCAACTTTACCTCAACAAGACCACGTTTCTCTTCCCGTTTATACTGGCTTGCTGTCTCAAGGCACTGGCATAGGAACTGATACCGCCCGCTTAATATTTTGTTCAGTGGTAGCAGTAACAGCAAGGTTATCACGCTGTATATGTCTATGGTGAACCATCCAAAGTTTATAAACGCTATCGCGAATTGCTTTGCTTTCAGTAAAAAGAAAATTTGGACCACGTGAAGAGGTAGGCAGATGGCAAAAATTATGAATAGCTCAAGATATAGGAAGCATAAGCTCTTGGAGGTGTATTTCGAGTTTAGTTTTTTGACCAGTAATTCCGTTTGGTACAAAGAGGTGAAAAGTTTCCTCCAGTTCTTATCAAAAAGCAAATTGCCGCTGAGGAAGATGGCAATCATGAAGAACAATTCGCTCAAGTGGAGCAAAATCTGTATAAACTGGTCCTGCACCTCTAAAGCTTCTATTGCTAACCTCGAATCCGTATACATGAAGAATATCAAAAAGGCTAGTGCGGGAGAGATAATGACGCAAGAGACGAATTTTTGGAGTTTCGTTGTCTTTAAACTGTAAGGAGTCAGCCCCAGGAATTTTGTGCGTTTACACCATAGTTTGAAAAGTTTTATATCACTTTGTTGACTTTTGAACAACTCTTCGTAGAAGTAAGCCGCATCCATTTTGTTAAATAGACGGTTTTCTACATTGCTGGTGGAAAGTCGATTAATAATTACATATATGAATCTGTGTAATTTCAATAACGTATTATAGTATACCGCATAACTGCATGAATATGTAATGAATTGTTTCTGGATCATGGAAATGTCAAATTAAACCACGTGCTTGCGTTTATAATAAAATTCTAAATTATACGTGATTATACTGGGTCGCTGATATGTATGAAAACGGTCAATTATCTCCTAAAGTAAGATAGCTATCGAAAAAATTATAAGACAAACGTTTTAGGGTTTTTTAATAAGTTCATGTATAACAATTTTTTTAGTGACGTCATTTTATTTTCGCATTCTTCTCAGCAAACCCTTTCATTTGATACCCGTATTATGGGGGTGCATAAAAAATAACTGGTCCGCCATCTTTGGGAGTCCGCCATACTGGATTTAGAATGACGTCACTTCGCTAACCATGCATTGTCATCCAAACTGAACGTGTATGCAAAATTTCAGCTCAATCAGTTGGGAATAACTGTTTTAAAATTCAGTTGCAAGATTTGACCCATACTAACAAAGCAAGTTAAAAACAAGCTTATAATAGTTCAAAGTTAATAAAAATGCATGTATTTTTTAATGAAGGCCCTGGATATTTTAAATCTTATAAAAACAATAGTTATGCCAGAATAAAAAAAGAGAGAAAACAAGTTTTAATAAACAACAGATATTTTCCTTGGAATTCTATTTCATAAGGTGCTCAAAGTGTTCATCATTTACCTCTTGTCAGTAATGAATTTGCTGAACAAAATTTTGTAGTGAGTCTATAAGGGTGTTGGGAGGAATAGTTGAAATGTCATGCCTTATCCTTCGATATTTTGCGGCTTATTTTTGTAAACTACATGTTTTATGTGACCCCACAGAAAAAAGTCGAGCGGGGTCATATCGAGAGACCTAGCTGGCCATTCAATTTCCCCTCTGCGTCCAATGCATTTATCAAGAAAAGTTTGCCCGTACCACACCTCCAAAATGTGGAGGAGCCCCATCATGTTGAAACCATGACTTATTACTTGACAAACTTATAGCTTAAAGGGTAAATGATATCATTCAGCTGTGACAAATTGTAGAAATGAATAATCGTAAATATGAAGCTAAGTTTAGAATACGGAGTACCTCAAGGTTCTGTCCTTGGACCTTTGTTGTTTTTTATTTTCATAAATGAGAATTCCAGTGTTATTAATTTAGAAATTTTGACACTATTTACCGACGGTACATGCTCTAGCTGTGAAAATTATATTGAAAAGAAATTGTTATTCATAGACAAAGTGATTCTAAAACAGAATTTATTATATCGAAGACAAAATCCTCGGCAATAACAGGGAGAAGAATGATAAACTTCTGTTGACAGTGATATTTTTAAAGAATTGTATATTCAAATATAATTTCGTCTTTTGATCTAAACTCCAAAATAGTATACTCACCGCATAGGAACCACAATATATTGAATTCTGGACAACTTGTTCTGGAATATGTCTCTCACCCATCTGTGCCAAAAGATTAAATTCCACCAAACATATGAAGAAGCTCAGGATTTTAATGATGTAAATATACACGTGCCAACCAAAAATAGCGTTTATTTCTTGCGTTACACGATGGCATATCCTGTACATCTTCAAGACAATTTTTATATCTGTAAGACCTGCTCCTTCTTCGCTTGCTTTTGTTATTATCCGAAGACATTGGCAAAGAAATTGGTACCTTCTATTCATAACTGTATTCAAGGTTATGAGCAAGAATAAAATCGCTACACAGTACACATCTGTCACGAACCATCCAAAATAGTTAAATGCCAATATGTACATTTTTGCCTTCAAAAAAACGGAAATCTGATACATGTGAAGGGGTAAACAGGTGGTAAAGATTGTGAACAACTCAAAATATAACCAATACAAACTCTTCGTGAAATTGGATGTCGAACTAAGTTTTTTTACTAGTACCTCTGTCTGGTACAAAAAGGTGAAGAGTCTGTTCCAGTTCTTATCAGAAAGTAAGTTACCGGTAAAGAATACGATAACCATAAAGAGCAACTCAGTCAAGTGCATCATTACCATCAGGATCTGGTCTGGTACATCTCCCATCTTCAGCGCCAAACTGAGGTCACTATGTATGTAGAACAGAAGAAATGATATTGCAATTAAAATAATGATCGTGAAGTAAAACTTTTGTACTGGTGTTTTGTCTAATCTGTACGGAGTCAAGCCCAGGAATCTGGAGCATTTAAAACATAATTGTAGGAACTTTACGTCACTTTGTTGGCTTCTGAAAAATTCCTCGTAGTAGAAAGTCGCGTCCATTTTGATAAATAAGAGGGATTTGCACCATTGCTCGTGAAAATCGATTGATAATTATATGCATGAGACTACGGAGTATAACATTAACATATATGACAAATGCATGACAACGCTAGTAGGTAAATAAAAGTAATATGTAATTTTTCCTAGAACACGACTGTTATCAATATTTAAGGAGGTACATTTTGGGGGCTGAGGGAAGTGAGGAGGGCAGGGGGGTCATATGCTTTTCTTATGGGACTAAAGCCCGCTGCCAATTTGAAAAAACTAAATTCTATTGAAATTATTTGCGATAAACGTTATCTAAATAGCAAAAAATCTACTCATATGCACATAGCATACATGTTGACTAATTAACAACATAAAAATATCATATTTAAGTAGTTTTAAATTATATTTAATGAACGCATAAAGAAAAGACTATGTAGATGTGGAACAGCGCTAATAATTGACTAGCAGTTGTGCGAACCTATAGACCTCGGACATCGGAGATATTGCGCTCAAATTCGGGTAAAGATGCGTACGCGTTCAAAAATGTATTGTGTGTAAACTATGTACAATACAATTATTATATATGACAAATATATCGTATTATCCTCGCGAAGATTTGTATCCTTCATTTAAAATCCGTAAATCATGTGAATTGGTAAAACAAGGAGAATTATGTTAATTTAGTTCTAAAGAAATTAAATGACACTAGCGCCCATCTCTCGTCCAATTCAAAGAAAATGTTGGATGCAATTTTGAAGGTTCTCTGAACGGAATTTGTACGGAATTCCGTACAAATGCTTTTATTTCAAGTATTACTAATTATATTAATCAACTTTATGTAACCCTAAATATTGCTGGGTAATGATTACGATGTTTTTATAATCCATATTAAAAGGATTTATCAACTGTATTTTTTATTCCAATAAATATATCACAGCTTCCTGTTTTTTTTTTAATTAATCTACTTTTTAAAAACATTAGAAAAAATCATCTGTTGTGGATAATTTATTGTTGATAACAATGTACATGGGATTTAGGAAAAATGTATATGTTTGAAATCAATTTCGTTTTTATCAGGTCTTTCAAATGTATTCCCTCCTTGCTGTCAGCTGATTGCGACGTTGCCATATTAATCCTCAAGTCAGACAGAAATGCAATTATTGGTTCCTGTTGCAGAAACTGAGAAAACGCTATCTATTGTTTCTTACTGGGGCTGTAACCAGGGTTCTCCTATTTCGTAACATGATTTGACCTTCAAATATCCTTCAAGCTTGACCTCTAGGTCAAGGTCAAGGTCATCATTGTATGATCTCATCAAACCAAAAAACTTTCAACCAGATTCATTCGTTGTAAGTACTTTCCCGAAAAATCTTATTCAAAACCTTATTTATTTGACCCTAAAATTTAGCGTAACTTTGACCAATAACATAAGGACATATATGAACGTAAAAATTTCCGCTCTATTCATTTCCGCTGTCAGAAATATATGTCTTATCTAAAACTCCAAGTTGACCTTTAAATGACCTCTACGGTTGACCTTTGTGTCAAGGTCACCATCGAATGTCCCCTTCAGAACCCTACAACTTCTGTCTAGAAAGTTTATTTAAAATGGAACACCGTCTATAATTTTTGATAATAAACTACCGGAGTAAAATAATCTATTCAAAAATATACGGCAAAATCCATAGTATAAAAATCAAACTTAAAACTGGTTCATTACAGTTGTGTCATACAATATTTAATTTAAAAAGTAGAAAATTTGAAACAAATGAAAAGGCAAAGAGGTTACGGAAAAGTACAGCAGTTTCAAACTTTGATTTTGAGTCAGCTTGTTCCAAATTTGACCAAAAAGCATGTTTCCGCCGAAGAAATTGTAATCGTTTGAGTAGATAAAAAACAGTAGAATTTGGTCTGGTAGCTCCAGTGTCCAATCGACGTCCAATATGTGTATAGATAAAATGTGAGTGGGTCATCCTAGTAAAGATAAAGACAGCGAACGAAACTGATCATTTCTGGTTGTAGTTAAGACCAAAATATAGCTGCATTATAGCTAGTATGTACTTCATGGTAACATTGAATATGGAGGCTAAAGTCAACTGGTTGACTTTGTAGAATCCTGCTGTAAATCTTGGTCTCCACTCTTCTGCAAATTTGGCCATTCGGAGGAGTTGAACTTTCATTAGTTTACTCTCGGAGCTTTCACGGAGCAAGAAGCAGGTCTTGATCACTTCTTTGCCACTGCATTCTACTGAATCGAATGACAAACTTAACAGTACTGTAGAGATCTGAAAAGAGTACGAATTAGAATTTTATTAAAAAGAAAAAAGTTCATTCACCGTATAGCCAGTGCAATAAACAATACTTTGAGCAGTATAGATGTCAAAAGATCTTATCCCCATCTGTGTCAAAAGGCTATGCTCTATCACACGTATGAGGAAAATCACGTTCAGATTTATATAGAAAAATACGTGCCATCCAAATATTTCGTTCACTTCGTTCATCACGCTGTGACAAAGCTTGTCCATGTTCAACACCACATCCATCATTTCTTTATTCATTTCATTAATCCCTTGCAGGCGCCGGTTAAGAAACTGATACCTTCCGTCCAACATTTGGTTCAACGACATGAGTAAAATCTGAATCGCCACGCAGTACGAATCTGTAACGAACCAT